TTTGAATTTGACCAGATGTATAACAAAACCACCCTGCCGATGAGAGGTGAAGCATACTGTGGCTCAGGGGTGGGTGAGAGAAAATCCCCCTTTGCCTATTCAGTCTGACTGTGAAGCTAGGTAAATCTCTCAAGGCAGGCAGTACGTGATCCCTCCTGTTTTGACTCGGCTATAGTCTGGCTCCAGAATACCCTGAATCGGATTGCATTTTTCAGCACAGCAGCCTCCTAAAGGCAATCTGGCTTCATCAGGCAACCCACCATCCAGAACACTGCTACGGGCTGGAAGCTACAAAGAAGGACCTTTTAGGGTATGTCTACACTGCAATTAAACACCCGCAGCTGGCTTGGTCAGCTGACTCAGGTTCCCGGGGCTTGGACTACGGGGCTGTTTAACTGAGGTGTAGATGCTCAGGCAGGAGCCTGGGCTCTAAGACCCTCCCTGCTTGTGAAGTCCCAGAGCCTGGGCTCCAGCCCAAGTCCGAATGTCTACACCACAATTTTACAGCCCTGCAGCCCAAGCTCAATGAGCCCGAGTCATTGATATGGGCCAGCTGCAAATGTTTAATTGCAGTGAAGACATATCCTTAGAGCCTACTGTTACCATGACATAAAATTGCACTTCAGTCAGATGCTGCAGTCAATTGGATTCAGTGACAGACCTTTGACACTCCTATGGTCTGTAGTATACCAACCTGACTCACTCAGAGGTCTTAACTAGAAGCGCATTTTGTGGAATAGGGAGGGGGTTAAAGAGATGAAAAAAGTCCTCATCAAGGACTAGGACTTCAAAAGATATCAGACAAGCCTGTGAGTTACTGGAGTGCAGAACAAAAGCACCAACACAAAAAAATGTTTAGTATTAAAATTATTTCTCTCCCCCTCTCCCCCCAAGAAAGCTAAAAATATTTTCTTCAAACTTCCCCAATACACTCATCTCTAGACTAAGACCAGTCTTCAGAAATTTCAGGACAAAGGTTAATTCCCCTAGGAGAAAGTCTCAGTGTCTGTCTCCTTCTCGTGTGGCCCCTCCATCAACCGGTATTTTAGCACAGTTGAAAATCCCACCTCAGTCTTATAAGTTAGTAAGAATCAGACTTGTCACAGTGCAGACTATAAAACTGAACTTGGCTCAAAAGTAAAACAAGTTGGAGGACTGGCTTTTCTATCCTCTTCAGCCCATGTAAACGTGCCATCAGGGTTGCTTATTGTGTATAGTTTTTGTTTTTGAAGAAAAGCAACTATAAAGCTTTAAATAAAAAACTTTATTAAATCATTTAGACTTGAAAGAAGTCACAATAATTAATGCACTTCACAATTGTAGTAAGTGCATTCTGTACACCACCAACCCAAATGGATTGATTCTGCATTTTATAAATAAAAAAACATATTTACAATGAACAGTAAAAGCTTCGTATTAGGCAGTTAAATTAGCAGATTACACAAACGCCTACACTTGATTTAGAAAAGTACAAATCTACAGTATTACATAATAGACTTATGACTTAATTAGGTTTAAAAATTCCAGAATTTCAAGATTTTGATATATGCTTAATTTCTTACTATGGCTCTTCATAACAATATCTATAACCTTTTTTGGGGAGCGGGGGACAAAAACCTCCTTTTGCCCTCTACAGGCTTGCTAGTACAAAACACATTCCCTAAAATCTACTATGGTGTGGAAATACAATCCACCAGTTCTTCTAAAGACAGGCTATGAATAGTGATCGTATGTACACCTGTGATACTTTTACTTTAAAAATAGTGCAGATTCCCAGTTTACCCACCAGGGACAAAAATGGAGTCATGATTTTTCAAAGTTTCAAGATCACCTTCATTTCTCCAGAAAGCAAGTGATCAGGGAATATATTCATCAGGTTTAGAGACTAATTTATTCTATAAAAATACAGCATTTTAATTCTATTTACATATAACAGATCTCTCCAGTTTCCCCCGACAGCTAACAAAATATAAGCAGTGTGCTGGACCAACCAACCTATGAAGATCAAGGTAGAAAGAGCAATGGAATGCAAAAAGTTTAGTTACTGGCTTTCATCGGGTCATCTAACAATAGCGAACAAGATTAACTGAGCTCCATCCAATGTGTTTTCTACATAACTTGAGAAACAGAGAACAACTGTTTTAGAGATCAACATTACGTGACAGAGGTTCCGGCCTGCTGAATAATCACTTTGAGACGTGTGGAGTATACTCAGGATAATTGTGCCCAATTATTTGCTTGGTTGTCTTGAATGCTTAATTCCAGAGGAACTCATTGTCCGTGACCTCTGCCTAAGCAGTGATTTTGCTGGGAGTTCTAAGTCTTCAAATAAAGGGTTTTCTATGATGTCTTCTGCCTCTGGTCTTTCAGTGGGACTTGGAGAGAGCATGTGTTTTACCATAGTGTACTAGAAGAAAACAAATGATGTGCTATGTGACATTTCAGACAACAAAACTATTTTCAAATGGCAGTGTCATTTAATGTTCTAGCTTTAGTTTTAGATGCATGAACAACTAGAAGACACCCCAAAATGCTTTTCTAGCAATTTGTTCATTAATCCTTTGGCACAGTGGTTGGGAGTACATAAAAGGCCTGAAATCTGGATGCACAGTGGCATCAGATTGACCCTTATGTCTAAAGGATTAAAGGCCCACTTGTCTAGTCAAATCTGGCCCAAGATCTTTTAATAAAGCAAAAGGGGAAAAATAATAATTGCACATTTACAAACTCTACAAATCTTGTGCCAAGTTTCCCTTAAGCATGCACTCAATCCTTAGATTTAAGAAACTACTGATAGCTAGTCTTAAAGGGAAACTCCAGTGTGTCAAAGCATAATATAGGTAGATACATATTGAATAAATATTTTAAATAGTTAAAACTAAATATTTATTGTACCTTTAGAGAAATAAAGCACCTTTAATCTCACTTCAGCTCAGTACTCACAGCACACCACACCTGTAGAAGTCAGGCTGAAGGAGGCTGATCTAGTCTGAGTACAGGGCTGAAGCAGCCAGAAAAGAAACTGGAAATGAGAGACTCACAATTTCTCATGAAGGGGTTTTGCAAATTAGGACCCTCTTCCTCTGAAGTTATCCAACTACTTTAGAGGGACATAGATTTGACAACCCCAAAATATGGCATGTCATGCCCCATGATATATTTTTGCTTACACAATTTTCCCCTTAAAGAGATCTAACTCTTATTATTGGTTCCCAAGGGTGTGTGTGTGTGTGAATTCATGTGCAGCCCCTGTCTCACTTATCTAGGACTGTTTCCTGCATTACGAATATGGATTTAAAACACGAGGATGGGAAAAGAGATTATGTAAAGTGCATGCTCCTACATTAGCAAAACCATATTATTTTCAACTCATAGCAATTAGACTATGTGGGGCAAATGGTATCAGTGTACAGGTTATAGCAGTGTGATTTAAAAATGACTACTCCTTATTTCAGAGGCACAGTAAAGTACCTGAAATAGGAATTTGGTTAAAAACCAGAATAGCTAAGACTACTTCACTTGTCTTTGCCACTTGACATTCCAGTTACTTTGTAATATAGAACTAAGATCAAATAGATTTACCTCCTGTGCATATTTCTGAGTAAACAAAGGTGGAAACGTCAAACTTCTTACGTCACTTAATGTCTGTAACAATATTAAAAAGAGGTCATTAAACATCTTGTCCATTTAATTATTGTTCTCAAAGTTAAGATACAAACTTAACAAAACTGCACTATGCACACAAATCAGTCCTGCACAATACTTTTAATACTGCTGATGAACAAGAGAGAAACCGTAGCGTTTATTAAGACTTATGTCATTGGTTAGAATGACGATGCACTTAAACAAAAATTCAAGTCGCTGCTTCCCATGGGGCAGAGTTTGCACTCAGAGACATGACAGAAGAGTTCGGGGTTTGTAACGCTAAGAAACCCAGCTACTTCCCCATAGTAATGCTTTTCTGGCCCAGCCTAATACTGTCAACAGAGCAGTATTATGGACAGTGTACTGCTACGAACACTTGGAATCGTCTGTATTACACCTAGGACACTCAAGATTAAGATCACTGGCTAAAGATCTTAGAAAGCCAAATGGATACTCATACCTACTTCATACCTATTGACTAATGAACAGATTACAAGTTTTATAATTCATTAGAATTATAGTTATAATTCATTAGAAACTTAGTTGCCTTTGTGCAACATAACCCATCTCCTTAGAGTCCATGTTCACTTCATACCAAATATGTTGGCTCCCTCTAGTGGAAATATTTTCCCCAGTCAACTTAGTTACAAATCACTACGCTGCTGCAGCTAATAATGAATTTAAATTGCCTAATTTCCAGTACTAATCCATGACCCATTTGAGCATGCCTTAGAAACAGGAGATGCTTTGCATTTGACTTTGTTAAAAAAGGGCCCCATTTGCAGCAATTTGGACACAAAATCTGAAGCTTAAAGTCAGTCAAATATTATCCAGGAACCGAGACGTCTAAACTCCTGATGAGTCATACTGCCGGGTGGTGACTGCCGTTCTAACACGGCCAGGAAAAACAGTTTCATGGAAAAAGGGCACTGAAATCTTGGGATTAAGCAGGGTGTCGTCTGAAGAATCC